CGTGTGAGTCTACACAAAAACACCCACAGGCAAAAATATCACCGGGCACTTTTATTTTTAATCGAATTCATAACAAAAAAAAAAAAGAAGAAAGAAACACTTGAACGCACCGGCACTGTTAACTCAGTTAAGGTCTGTGTGGTTTATAAATGCGCCTATATAAATGAATTCTCAAACTGCTGATTGAAACATGTGCCCTGATTCTAATATGCCATTTTATGTCCACTTTGTCAGAAACCATTCATTTATTCTCATGAAATCGGCAGCATTCTATTTTTCTGTGCATAAATTCGCTCTGCAGTTTAAAAAATACAGCATTCATTGCTGTTTTTTTTTCCTAACTGGAGAGCACATTTTCAGAGCGGCAGATTAAATTTACAAACGCTAATTGGGGGCGTGTATTTAATCTGCCGTTCTGAAAATGCGCGCTGCAGTTATAAAAATACAGCATTAATTGCTGTTTTCATTTTCAGAGCGGCAGATTAAATTTACAAACGCCATAATAATTGGGGGCGTTTATTTAATCTGCCGCTCTGAAAATGCGCTCTGCAGTTAGAAAATTATAATGCTGCTTTTTTTTCTAATTGCACAAGAGCACATTTTCAGAGCAGATTAAATTTACAAACGCATCCAATTCATATAGTGTTCGTAAATTTCATCTGCCGCTCGAAAAACATGCTCTGTTAGAAAAAAAAGCTGCATTGATGCTGTTTTTCTTTTTTTACTGCAGAACGCTTCTCGCAGATAATTAGAATGCTGAGCATTCTATCACACTAAAACATTATGAAAGGTTAAAAAAAAGTTGGGCTCGGGTCGGGCCAGAGAATCCTGAAAACCTTTTTGGACCGGGTCGGGCTGGGGCTCCACCCCCTCGGGCCGGGCCGGACATGGGCTCAGATTTTAGGCCTGTGCAGGGCTCTACACTAGCTGTAGTGTTTCTGCTGTGGTCCGGGGAAGGGATTACCTGACGGTACAGCACTCCACTCCTTTCAGTCAAACGGTCCCACTGCCTCAATAACACTAATGCTAACTGTGACGGACACTTACGCTCCTCCAGACTTGGCTGCTTCTTCTGCCTCCAAAACCGTATAACTTCCCGAATCACAGGATCATTTTGCTGAAGAGCACACAAATCTGAAGTGGTGTACTGGGGAAATACAGTCGTAGTAGCCTGCACTGCCTTGGGTCTCCGTTTTTGCAGAGCTTGCTGTAGAGGTTCAGGAAGGGGTGTAAAAGGAAGCATCACATCCAAGTCTTGGACCTTGGACCTGCATTGATGTTACTCTTCCCTGACCTGTATCTCACCTCAAAATCAAATGCGGCCAGTTGGGCTGCCCAGCGCTGTTCAGTAGCACCTAGCTTAGCAGAGGAAAGGTGGCTCAATGGGTTGTTATCTGTATAAACCAGGCACTTCTGACCCAATAAATACTCCCTGAATTTCTCAGTCAGGGCCCATTTCAACGCCAAAAATTCCAGCTTCAAAGAGCGGTAATTCTGCATGTTCTGCTCGTTGGGCTCAGTCCTCTGCTTGCATATGCTATGGGCCTAATCTTCCCATTTTGTTCTTGTGAAAGAACAGTGCCTAGTCCCCCATGGCTTGCATCCACCTCTAAAATAAAAGGACAGGAAAAGTCGGCGTAAGCCAAGACAGGAGCGGTGGTAAGTGTCTGCTTTAAGGCCTCAAAACTCACCTGACATTCCTCAGTTCACTTCTTACCAAACTCAGGTTGAATTTTTCTTCTACCCCTTCCATTCCCTGTCTGAGCCACTAACTTGTGGAGGGGCGCAGCCAACTTGGCAAAACCCTCCACAAACCGTCAATAACTGGCAAAGCCCAGAAATGAGCGTAGCTCTGAAGTGGTGGTTGGAATGTGCCACTTAGCCACTACCTCTATCTTACTGGGATCAGTAGCCACACCCTGATCTGAAATTATGTGGCCCAGATAACTGACGTCTTGCTTGAAGAATGAACACTTGGCTAACTTCACCTTCAGACCTTCCTTCTGGAGTCTCTCCAGCACAACCTCCAGTCTCTGCAGGCGTTCCGTCCACACTAGAGGAGAAAACCACAATGTCATCCAGATAAATAAGCAATGACTGAACACTGTTTATCCCCAAAAATCCCCTGCATCAATCGTTGGAATGTACTGGGGGCATTACACGTCCAAAGGGCATCCGGTTCCACTCAAATAAGCCAAAGGGAGTACAAAAAGCAGTTTTTGAACAGTCGGCCTCTGCGACTCCCACCTGATTGTAGCCACTGGCTAAATCCAAGGTGGAAAACCAACGTGCACCTGTAAGCGCGTCCAATGACTCCTCAATACAGGGAAGAGGAAAAGCATCTTTCCTAGTTTTTTTATTCAGCTGCCTATAGTCAACACATATCCTGAGGCTACCATCTTTCTTCCTCACTAACATGATGGGGGCTGCATAGGGGCTGCTGCTTTCTCTGATTGCCTATGTCTCGAGCAGTTGGTTGATATGCTCTTTTACCGCTTCGTAATCCGACAGAGGGATTCGCCTGAAGCGCTGACGGACAGGTGCAGCATCCACGAGCGGGATCTCGTGCGTCACCAGATTTGTACATCCTAGGTCCCCGTCATGAGCTGCAAAAACAGCACTATAACGTGTTAGGAGAGCTCTTACCTTCTCCGGATCACATTCAGATAATGCTGACAGGTCCACACTTTTTAACTGATCTGGGAGCCCCCCCCCCCCCACTGGGATGCTACTGTAGCATCAACAGGTAGCACTTCTGTAACCCCTGGTGGCAAGCTCGTCACTGCGACTTCAGCCACGGTACCCACCCGAGCCCGAGGGTAGAGAAGCACGTCAGTGCAGCCCACATTAATAACTCCAATAACTCACCTGTACCAGAGAATGTGAAGCAATTAACCCTGAAGGCAGACCTGATGTCAACGGCTCAAAGAGTACACTCCTGTCTGAATACCAATCCGCACAGGTAGTTGCCACTATTTTCATCATACCTGCAGGAATACGGCATGCTTTCTTGCCACCCACCTTAAGAATGCCAGTGGTTCTGCGTGGAGCTGACCTGGCGGCATTCCTGCAAGGCAGGCATTACAAATACATCTGCAAATGATGGGGCCACGGCCACGTCTAGGGGGCAGATTACCTCGTCTGGGCTGTTGTAATACTAGGAGACTATCAGTTAATTTATTTAACTGTTCCTGCTGTAATTTCAACAATTCCCTCATCTCTGATAACTCAGACCTCTCGGGGTGGCCCGTTGCCACCTGAGACCATTTTGTCCCAAATTGTGAACCAGCAGATGGCACTGAATAACTCCTGCTCCCAATATTTCCAGCTCCTTCGGGGTCCCACCTAATGGCCTCAGCCCGAACATCCAGCAGGGTAGCTGCAGGTTCCCCACGCACAAATTGCTTAAGCTCACGGCACAACAATCCATCACTCACGTGTTCTATAAACTGGTCGCTGAGAAGCACTTTGGCATTTAACATTTCTACAGGGGCTTGCTGCTTTACAGCTGCCATCAAACTCATTAAGGCTAAGGAAAACTCCTGAAGAGTTTCACCCTCCTGTTGCCGTCGAGAAAAAAATGCCTCCTGCAAGGCGACATAAGATTCTGAACAACCATACAGTTCTTGAAACGCAGCGATTATCTGAGCGGGGTCCTCCCTCTGTGCCCTTGGACGCAATTTGATTTCCTCGCGTGCCTCCCCCTCTAAGTGATCAAACAAGAACCACGCCTCTTTCAATTTAGATAATTGGCGAATCCTCATACAGGCCTGCACCTCCTCCAGCCACTCAGTCAGACCAATACCCCTAGTTCCCCTAAAGAAAGGACATTTCCTGTCTCGAGGGATAAACGCTACTCTCTCCCCTTGCACCATGTTTACATGAGGAAGAGAGGAACCTGTTGAAGTAGAAGGTTCAACATCGGAGTCAGTTCTAGAAGCCCATTCTTGTCTTAATTTATCATTTTCCATTTTTAATTGCACAATCCTCTCCCTCAACTCCTGTAATTCTGCCTCCATTTTTGTTACCCAGAGGAGAGAGCCAAAAGTGTACTGGTTGTCCCTGAGGCGTTGTGGAGCTGATTTACCTACCAAGACAAAGAAACACAATTTTAAAAAAAGAAATAAAAATAATAATAAAAAATAAATAAAAAGACAAAGAAAAGTACAAAAAAATGTATATTTAAGATTATTGTCTTTAAACACCCGTTTCTGCTCACCAAAGTGGAGAAAAATGCCAACAATGCCAAATGTGGCGGAATGGGTCGGTACTAAGCAGATTAAAAAGTTAAGATCGTGCCAACGCCTTACGCCTCAACAGGTGATCCAGCCCAAACCACTGGCTTTAACATGGCCATCCACGGAGCTCGTGGTAAGGTACCTTCTTTATGAAGCTTGTCCCTTTAACCTTGATTTACTATAATCAGGAGCAGGTTTCCTCATCCTGCTACAAAAACATGATAGTTCAAATGTTTTTTCCCCATAAAGGGTAATCTGATCATTATCAGAGAACAACTGTAGAAAAACACAGACTCCATATCCCTGTTTGTCTTTCCACATCTTAGGGATTCGGATGTCAAGACAACCGCTTCCCTCCCTCTCTCATTTATCCCCACGAGAGGAAGGCAAACACAAAATAAAAGCTTTGGTGGTGATGCTCACCTATAGTTCTGTCCTGGTTATTTAGAAAATAAATAAAGTGAATGCATCAAAAATATATTTAGCAAAGAAATCTGATACATTAAAATTTATTTGACGTTAAAAATGAGTAGATAAGTGATATCAGCAGAAGCTAAACACTTGGACTGACACAAACTTCCTGTGTGGAGTCTTGGATCATAACTTTTATTTAGGTTTTTCTTTCAAGCTGCAGAGAAATAAAAACACCGACCCTGGATTTATGTCTTACTACACACTGCTTCCATCTGCTGGTGAAGTCACTCAACTACATGTGGAATTCATCAACATTTACTTTAGAAAACTCAAAAATGACCAGACAGATTGGTATAAAACAGGAAAATAACTTTATTTAAATCTAATTTCTTTAAAACAATCGTGCTCCACACTGAGAATCACCCTTACACTCCAACAGTTTGGTAATTATCTTAGACCAAACTGATAACAGGTTTCAGGCTGAAATCTTAACATCTAATTGACATCATAAAAATGTGTTTGAAATTTAGCACAGTTACAAAAACCCAACAGAATAAATAAATAAAGACAGAACGTGACACCAAACACGGTCATGCACTTTAAATGAAAATGTTGTTTTCCTCTTTTTTTTGCCTTGGCTGAAAACTGTGGAGACATTTAAAAAGATCCTTGGCAGAACTACTGAAGTCTATAAAAAGTGCAGCCCACCCTTCCACGGAAATTAACTGAGTGTTCCACAAATAGTAAAAACTCCACTAAAGCAGTAAGGCACAGAGGAGAGCAGGTGGTTCAGTTAAAACACCAGGAGCATGCCCAACAGCAAACGCTGAAGTTTGTGTAAAAGAAAATAACACACACCCAGATGGAAAGAGTAAAACATCAAACATGACTTAACCAGTAAACATTTTTAGTAGCCAAAGTGTGAAACAAGAGAATATAGGATATTAATATAAACGTGAAAAAATACAGTGAGAAAAGAAAAATGACAGAGGACATTAGAAGGTTATGAAACTTCACTTAATATAGATGTAGATCGTTTAGCTCTGGTTTAGTGTTAGATCCAATATGGAGACGTGTGGATTCAGCCCATCAACATTACAGCTGGGGAGTAAAAAACCATTACATCAACAATCTATCTGCAGTGAGCTAAAAGTCTTCCTACTTATCCTCTTTCCAGGGTTAGAAAGTAAAATAATAAAAAGATGGTAAAAATAAATTAAGATTTGGATTATAGTTTTTGGTCACAAAGTTCACAACCCCAACCAGCAGGGGGAGCTCTAACAGAGTCTAAACATCCTTCCTCTCAACCACACCAGCTTCAGTGAAAACAGACTGAAGCTGTGAAACAAAAATCAGTGACTTAAAGTAGATGGATCCTAAAGCTGTTAAAAACAACGTGTAACATTACTCTGATGTTTTCTACCAGTCTGACTGAAACTTAATGCATTTCCTGATGTAACATGAAGACAGAACGTCCTCTTGTTCCATACAGCTAAAATAAACATCATGCAACACACACACACACACACACACACACACACACACACACACACACACACACACACACACACACACACACACACACAGACAGACAGACAGACAGAACAGCAGATGTGATGGAAACAGAAGTAGCTCACAGCTGTGGTTAAAAGTTGACTTCTATCACATTAAAGCAGCATTTACATACACACACTCATGAGGACACATACAGTGTTGTTTTTCTACTGAAGAAGCGCATCTAGTACGACTCCTCGATAGCTGGGAGCTGTTTTTCCTTCTGACTGTATAGAGCGAGGTTAGACAGCATTTGAATTCCTTCAAGCCCAGACCTGCTGAGCTGAACAGAGCCAGGCCCTTATGGTCCCTGAAAGCAAAATGAGCACTCACATCACAAAACATTCCACTTTAAAGCTCTCATGTGTTGTTTGTTGTAACATTAAGACATAAAAACAACAACAACAACAAAAAAATAGCACAAATGAGAGAAAACTGAGCTCCTACACACAAAGTGAATTTCAAAAACACTACTCTTGCATGAATAAATAACCTGTAACATCTGTATGAAGGGGAAACTGGTTCAGCCACAGCTGGAGTGTGACACTAGTAAATACTTAGGGGATCTGATGAGATCAGCAGCACAAACTACACTTTCAGCAATCAACAGCAGGAAGTGTTCATCAGATAAATACTCACAACAACCAACAGTGCTGCACAGCAGGTTTGATCGCTCAACAGTCTCAGAAGACACTCCAAAGTTTGTCTAACTTATTTGATACAGCATCAGGACGCTCCGCCGTGGAGCTGACGCAGTGTTAAAGCCTTTTAAAGCACATAAATAGTTGAGATATAAATACCTGTTTTAAAAGAAAAACATTCATGTTGGGTCAGCAGTAACGCATGAGCTCATATTTAGGCTACAATGCACCAGTTGTACCAATCAGAGATTCCCCGTGACCATCTGTGCATCCTCTTCACCTAAAGCTGCCAGGTATTAAGTTATGACTCGTTCAGGATGAAATATTTGGGATTTTGGCTTTTGGGAACAAGCCCTAATACTGTTTCAGCCAGGTCCTGACTACTGGCAGGACAAGTCCTCTCTGTTGAGCCAGGTCCAGATCTGGATCATCTCCTGGGGGGTCCTCGGGTGGACTAGCATTAAACTCTTGTATGCACAGGGGTTAGACCTGTACTTCTCCTCTATATTAAAGGTCCTAAAGCCTTTGTGCTTTTCGGGGCCCAGCCCTAACTTACGAAGACACATACCAGTGTAGACGTCATCGATTGGGTAGAGCGCTACATGCTGAGAGGCATTTTGGAGACGAGCAGCTATGTCCCCAGAGTAAAGGTACCCCCCTCCTCCTGCATATGGGGGGTATGCACCTGTGTACATGCTCTCTGGGATAAAGTACTTGACCTTCTTGTCTCTGTGTGGCCCTGCATTAGTGATAACATCACCAACAAACAGGTCCTTGGCTTTGGGCCCCGACAAGCCCTTGAGGAATTCCAAAATGCGGTAGGTGTTGACGAAGACATCGTCATCCCCCTTGAAAATGAAGCGAGCACGGGAGCAACGAGCCTGAATCCAATCTAAAAACAAGACCTCCTTCACGGTCAAGTTGAAGAATGAATCCCGGAAATCCCACTGGATCAGGTCCTTGTGGCGGCTGTTCTCGTAGCTCAACATCTCAGATAGATCGGGGTGGTGGTCCACAGCAGTGGCGTTGCCCAGAAGAAACACAGTGACCACCGTCTTATTGGCGATGATGCCAGCCCGCCCCCAGGACTGACGAATGGCCTGACGCCGGTCAAAGTGAGGTCCAAGAGATTTGACAGCAAGGAGCAAGAAGGGAGGATCCTTGCAGATCCCAGTGTTGTCCATTACAACCGGGTAGGAACGACATCGCATGTAAAGTAAGAAGTCCTTAAAACGGTCCGGTAAAGAGTTGTAGTCTTTCACCTGAGTGGTGACCCTGACATTAGGCTGACACGGGTCAGAGGTTGAACTAGTGTCATTGAGCCAGTCAGGTACGTCTGCACTGCTGAAGTTTGTCATGAAGATGGGATTGTCCTGAACATCCAGAATCTGCTGCTGGCGGTTCCAGTAGGCAGAGTTGGGAGAAAGTTTAGCCCAGAAGGCTTTAGCAGGAACGTAGGGCTTGTTAAGTCCACTTTTATCCTGGCCGCTGTTTCGGGAGATGAGGATGAAGATGAAGAAGTTGATCATCATCACCATCGCAAGAAGCTTTAGCTTCCTGCGCTGCAGAGCCATGGTAGTGCTGCTCTTGACCCCACCTGTGCAGACAGAGAGAGAGGGGGGGGGGGGGAAGAGAGGAAAGAGAGAGAGAGAGAGAGAGAGAGATAGAGAGAGAGAGAGAGAGAGAGAGAGAGAGAGAGAGAGAGAGAGAAACAAACAGGTTTCATCTTCCATTATTGTCAGAAAATAATGAACTGGTGAGGTAATGGTGTTGAATTAAAGCTAAAGAAGATTTTCATTATAAGCATTTTTGTGTTCTTTAGTAGGTGTCAGTAGACAGATGGTAGATAAGAGGTAACAGAATTGAGTGAAGTAAAATGTAAGGAGGGAAATGAACCACAGACTCTGCTGTGGTGCATTAGTGTCATGTGGTTAACACAAAAAGTCGAGTGGATTCTCTGGAATTACTCTAGAGACGCAAGACTTACAGGAAGGCGAGTTCCTGTGTATAAAGTAAAAAACAAACAAACAGCGTGACCAAAATAGTAATGATACTGGTAATATAATAATTCTCTTTAATTCGATGGTATAAGTCATCTTCACAGCCAATTTTAGGTCTTCTGAAGTCATGTAAATAATTAGCACAAGTGATTAAGCAACACCATCGGAACACACACTGTAGAAGTGGATGAACAAAAGGGATAAACCAAGAGGCCATTTTGGTCTTTGTTTTATTGAAGCCAACACAGAAGCATGAAAAATTGCAGTTCCACCCTCATCCACTAGGGTCTGGCACCAGAAGTGAGCAAATCTTCATCAACTCCCATGTTAAAAATGCCAGTTTCACAGCAGAAATAAACATGTTTACAGCCTGGTTCAATAAACCATTTTAGGTTTAATAGGTCTAGTTTACATTTATGACAACTCTAAGGAGGGTGAACTTCTTTTGGAACTCTGCTGTTTCAGTGGACTTAAATGCACAATATTTGGAATAATTAATGAGCATCAGAGTCACGTGACTTCAGAGCTAGCTCCGGGGAAAGGCATCTGCCTCACATTAATAGATGTTTGGCCATTTCGACTCTCTGAATTAGGCTTGGGCGGTATTACCGTATAGAGTCGGTACTAAAAGATAGCAACGGTAACAGTTTCAATACCATCATGAAAAAATAACTAATAATAATAATAAAACAGTGTACGTAGGAGACAAGGATAAAAAGTTAAAATAAGTTAAAAAGATAAATAAAAGTTATTTAATGCATAAAACAGTAGAGTGGTTGAATTTTCAGTTTCACTGAATTTTTTTGAGACATTCCATAAACTTTATGAACGTGATGTCATCACGTTACGGCGCGCCGAGAGAAAAATGGCAGCTCATGCAATACCTGACCTGTCTAAACACAACACTACTTCTGCAGTTTGGGAGTATTTCGAGTTTGAAGCAAACTTAAAAGGAGAGCCGGTGAACACTGATGATGTAAATTGTGCAAACAAAAGATAACCGCAAAAGACGTATGCTCCGTCTGAAACACAGAGGAGTGAGCCGTGGCTGAAATAGCAGACTTCTGTCTGGAGCCTGTTATTAAAAGAGACAACAACGTTCTTTTCTGGTGAAAATAAGCTGCCAGTTCCCCCAGATGTCACGATTAGCCTCAAAGTACCCGGGTATCTGTCACAGGCTTCTAACTGATAGTTTGCTGGTTGACGGGGGGAATATTCTATGCTCTTACCATAACACCGATTGGTCATTCAGCTCCCGCAGCTCTGCGAGTCGACACAGCTCTAAGTCAACACGAAGCCGAGACCATCGACAATGGTGGGCTCACTGATGTTTGACCGCCGTGGTACAGCAAAGCCCAAAATCCTCGGCCCACTTACCTAGTTATGATTTTGTTACTTGTGTTTCATTTTGGAATCACTCTACCACATTTTTCTTGCTAAAAACACCCAGAAAAACTCTGTTAGCTTTGGGTTAGCATTAGGGCTGCACAATATATCGAAAATTTATCGTCATCGCGATAACAGGACGTGCGATAGGCCCATCGCAAAGCACGTCAAAAACAACGATAAATGTTTGGTTCAAACATTTCCATCCGTGTCATACATCAACTTTTTGTAAACCAGCTCTGTTTTTACAAGGAAGTATTATTTGACCAATCAAATGTAGCCCTTCTGATATGCGGCCAATCAGATCGGTCCATTCACGTAATACGCCCGCCCCCTACATAGACCCTTAGGATGGGTGGAATGCAACACCCGAACTGAGTTAGCGGCGCTGTTCCCTTGTTCGTCATGCTGGCTCAGAGCAATGAACGCACTTTGTGCTGAGGTTTCTGGAATCAGCGCTGCTTTCAAACGTGAACGTGAGTCCGCTCAGTGTCGTTAAGCAGCTGATAATAACCGGGCTGACTCCCAAACGTGCTGGTGAACCAACCTACCTTCATGTCGCTAGTGTTCCACCGGGTGGTGATGTTAGCCCCAGGCTCCGGTTAGCTTCCAGCTAAAAGGCTACAGCACTCTCCTCCCAGTCCCACCCTGCTAAAGAGGGCCTGGAAAAGTTCCCCCACACATCAAAGACATTTTTCATTTATGAGCTTTTATAACCTTGTTAATCAGGATAGTTGATTTGCTGCTGCACATAAACTGTCAGTCAGAAGCTCTGCTAGCCGGTTATCTTAAGAGGAGCTAGTTCAATTTGTTAGCTTGTTATCAGAATCATAGTTGCAGTTTCATCATCTGAGCTGCTTTTTAAGATCCAGGTAAACTTGTTCAATTTGGGGTTAAAACCAAACATTTTCACATATTTTCCGTGTATTTTTTTTGCCAGTTCCTCTTCTGAAAGGTAGACAATTGTTTTTCTCTTTCCCTCAGAAAATCTTAATATCCTCCTAGTTTGGCCCAGCACAGTTCACTTCCCAATTACAGCAACAGCCTTATATCATAACCACATAAGTGGAGAAAATGTTCAGTAGCAATGAGAGAATTTGCTGTTGCATTTAAGTGATGTTAACTATTATTTAACGTTTAAACTTATTTTCTGATTTTATTCAAAAAACCCTGGTAAGGGATGTTTTTCTGTATTTGGAGCATCAGGAAAAGTTTTATGGTGGAGGTGATGTTTTAAAGTCACTGAGAAACTGCATGCATGCAGTTTGTTGTTTTGCTGCTAATACAGTAGCAGGTGCAGCTGCATGTTTTTGCAATAAAAATGTTATGTTGTAATGGAATTCATGCATTAGTTTTTGTTTGCTTTAAACCCAGAGCAGATGTCACACGCCAGATGACATCAACACTGCATACTTTAGTATTTGTTCATTTATCGCAAGTAATATCGATATCGCAATATTAAGCACTGTTATCGAATATCGCAGGTTTTCCTAATATCGTGCAGCCCTAGTTAGCATGTAGCTAATGTCCCGCTGACCTCCGACCGTGGAACTTGAGCTGATGTAAAAGGTCACAGCGCCCAGCTATGATCGCAGCGGTCTGAGGCTCTGCTTGTAATTAAACAGTCCCAGTCCATATTAGATCTCCACAGGCGACCAGCATGATTACAGCCTCGCACGGGAGCCAGGCAACCGAGCTCCGGTGCCCAGCGCCCCTTGCTTCTTGGGTTTACAAAATTATCTAATAAGCTACATTGGTTCATTTGTTAACCGTAGCAGCCCCACCCTTATCTACACCATTTGGAAACAAAATCTTATAATTCGAGCCTATGGACATGAATTGTCCAGTATTGTCCATAGGGTTGTCACGGTAACCGGTATAGCGGTGAACCCCGGTAAAAAAGTTGACAATAAAAATAACCGTCCAGTTTTTAAAAAACTATATTATCTCGGTGGGTTTACCGTGGCCGCGGTTTCAGCGCGGTGACCCTTACCAGCCACCGTCGCTTCAGCTGAAGTTCCCGCGGCGCGCACACGCACTTTTTAGTTTGCAACAGCACCAAAACTTTGAAGCTGAAATAATGGCCGAAGGAGGAGACGGCAGCGCCCAGGACATCCATCAGCCCTCAAAGAAGACTAAATCGGAAGTATGGGCATATTTTGGATTTCTGAAAAATGCTGAGGGACAGTTAATAGAAGACTGCTATCCCGTTTGCAGAACGTGCAGGAAACAAGTGTCTGCAAAAGGCAGCAACACTTCGAATCTAATGGCACATCTGCGTGACCATCACCCACGTCTCTACAGCCGGTGCAAGGTAAGTTAAAATTAGCATTTTAGCTTAAATGCATGATGTGAGGACTTTTGGCTGAGGGAAAATGCAACGAGTCACTATAGACTGCAGCCGCAGCGTCCTCTGCCAGCATTTAAACCGTGTCACGGACACCCTGTTGCTGGATGAAGCATCTTATTTGTTGATGATGAAGAGAAATATACGATTAGTTCCTTGTCATTGATTTGTTTACTTATTCAATGCCATTTATACTTGAACATTTGGATTTGATTACATAGTGTAGTAGTTATTTTAGTAATTTGTTTAAAGTGGCTATTTATTTTAAATACATATTATTTTAAGGTTGACTTGTACAGTGCTCAAGTCAAGTGTGGACTGGAGTTTTAGATTTTCATTTTGATAATGAAGAAAACAAGTATATGAGAAAACAAGTGGTGTTTCTTTGATTTGTTTACATATTGTTTATGTTTTGAATGTTTGGATTTGTATAATTTAAACCTGCACTGACTAGTGTAACATGTTCCAGAAAAAGAAGCTATTTGTTCCTTTACTTGTGAAAAGTTGCACTTTTGCTAAGGCTTTGTGTTATTTTAGGTTTAATAAACACTGTTAAACCTTTTCAGAACTATTTCAGTTTGTGTACAGGACTATCAATGCTTTCTGAACATATGCAACACTGTTTAAAAAATACCGCGATAATACCGAAAACCGTGATAATTTTGGTCACAATAACCGTGAGGTTAAATTTTCATACCGTGACAACCCTAATTGTCCATGGGCTAAACCTGCTTTTTTTGCAAACTACTACTAAACCACAACCATTTAGTTTAGGCTTTACTGCTAACTGCAGATATGCCTTTGTGTGTACAAAAAGGATTTTTGTAAACTGATTAAATTATTTATTAGGGAAAATGTCTTTTC